AAAAACAGTACGTTCATGGGCAAAACTGTCCATCCCCAAATAATGAGACCTTTGGGTGTACAAAATAAAATATGGGACTGATTAGATTACAATTCCACCTTTTAGGATTTATGGGTCAATTTCCCTTAATTTAGATACGTAATTATTGTAATTCAATCGATTTAATTTTTTGTATAAATAAGAGCATCTCTAATGGTTGTTACTATAATACCATTGCTATTGCTATAATTTGGCAATAAATAGTGCTATTTTGTCAAATTATAGCAATGGTGCTCTAACGGTCACTTGCTGTTTTCACAATTCTTAATCAACTTTCCCTCCAAGTTTGTAGGTGTTGTTTGGATATAGGTTTTTTTGTGATTTTATTTTTATTTATTTTTTGTCTTTTATGACCTTTTTTTAACTATTTGTAAAAAAAAAATTATATATTTATATTATTCTCAACTAGACAAATATAGAAAAAGAAAAAAATTTGAAAAATTAGAAAAAAATAAATATAATTCAATTTGAAAAATTAAATAGAAAAATTAAATTTGAAAAATTACTTGGTTTTCTACTGTTTCAATTCTATTTTTTCAACTGAATTTGAAGCCACAAATATGTTTATATTTGCTGATGTGGCATCTTTGGCAATTGCTATTTTATTTGCCAAATTTGAGAACAGATATGGTATATGCCATCTTTGACAAGTAAAATAACAAGCCATTGGAGACCCACTTTTTATCACTATTGCTATATTATAGCTTTGGCAAGTGTTTTGAGAGCTCCATTGGAGATGCTCTAATATACTCGTCAATTCTAAAATATAAACAATTTAAATTATCAAAATAAAATTTAAAAATAAGTCCACAACGCAGACTGAATGATCTAATTTTAATCCCTAAGAGCATAAGTATCAGCCTCTTCAAAATTTTAGTCAAATTATAACTTAAAAAGTCATTTTTATATTTTAGCTAGTCATTCACAGCATCAAACTTTCTATTTTAACTTAATCCTATTAAAATATTTGTTATTCTTTTTTTTTATATAAAAAAATTGATGAGCTATCAACCAAACAATTTTTATGTTTTACAAAAGATAAAATTAGAGGATCAATGTAAAAAAAAAAAAAAAAAAAAAAAAAAAAAAATTGCCATTGATCAGTTGACCGGCGGGTTGACCGGCCAGACTTCCGGGCGGATTTCTGGTTACACCCAAATCTCATGTTTTAGCGATGAACAGTTGCTCGCTTCATCAGACAAGTTACTATAGCAAATTTAACAAAGCGTTAATTTACAAAAATTTGTTGAGTCTGATGGAGGATGTGAGAACCCGAATATAAAAATTAAGTAAATAATTAAATAATAATATTACAATCTCAAATATTTTGGTGGTGAATTCTAAGGTGCAAATTAAATATTATTGGAGGATCTTTTAATTAATTTTTAAACCTAAAATAAATTTATGGTGAAAGTCTTTAATTTAGAGGCAAGGTTTAACTTGAACTCTAAACCACAAGGTTAATATATCAGACTCTTACCATTTGAGTTGCATATAACTTATACATATGTTTTGTATATTTATCTATTTATTTGACCTATGTGTGCCCACCACTAGTATAAAATAAAATAAAATAAACACAAACCCTACTCTATTATTTGTTCACCACATAGGGCAACAACACAGCAGCCACGGGAGAGGGTTTGAGAGAAGGAAAAAAGCCCACCACTAGTATAAATAAAATAAACACAAACCCTAATTATTATGATATTGTTTTCCCACAACTTTTCTGAGCAGCCGTGAGAGGTAAAGGGAGGGAGAGAGACGTCTAGGTCATTGGGTGAAAAGTGTTGAAAATTGTTGAGTTTTGTGGTGGCCATTGGCAAGGTAAATCCCTTATTATTTTTTATTCCTTCACTATCTTTTTCTTCTTCTTGTGAGTTGCTGTGTAGTTGATGGATCAAATCGGTGAAGTGGGTTCATGTGTTGGGCATGGCTATGAAATATTTGGCTAATTGAGATAGTGCTTTATGTATAAAGAATTGTGTAATTCTTTGTCCAAAAATTCTGCACAGAATCACAGATTTTAAAAATCAAGGAACCATATCAAACGGATGAATTTTAATCTGAAATTTTTACAGTAGATTAATTACATATTGACGCCTCATTTGGGAACCCTCCCTTTTAGCCAAAAAGTCAAAAAGTTATTAAATTAGCCAAAAAGCCAACAATCCATCCCAAAAAGTCACAGATTTTCTTTTCTCTCTACTTTTTGCACATCTTTTCCTAAAAAGCCAAAAAGTCATCACAAATATACTAGTTTTTTTAGCTCATATTTTATCCAAATAGCCAAAAAAGTTACTAAATTATCCTATTCCCAAACGAGGCCTGAATTGCATATCTGAATTTTTTCATAATTTTTGGGAGTCAAAATCCATATAAACTGATGCGTTCAAATCTGTCCAGAAAAACTGGTTTTTAATAGTAAATTCGAGAGTATTGTTCTCTTTGGGTATAAATCTAAAAATTATCAAATCAGCGTCATTAGAACCGGTTACGAGTCTAGTTTCTTGAATTTTTGACCTTACGTTGATTGCTCATGTATACTAAGAGAACCGTCAATTTCTTTAAAGTGCTGCAGAAAACAACCTGTTTGGATATAATAAATTGTAAATAATTATTTTGATAAGAAAATCAAGTGAAACCAATTGGGTTTGGAACTTAGGATATATTAGTTGATATCTGGAGGGTTTTAGAATTTTTCGAACAACGTGGAGTGGGTTTCTAATTTTCAAAGTTAGCGAATAGATTGGAAAAACTCTGTTTTATCTTAAAGTCACTTTTAGTTAAGTTTCGATTAGAGCCTATGTCTTGGGTGATTTTAGACCTTGAAGAACATGAACTTAGGTAATATTTAAGAGTAACGGTGAGTTGGGTTGAGCCGTGTTAGTGCACTTTAGTTTGGGATTACTTAGTTCTTATTCTTTAATATTTTTAAATTAGTAGTGACGTGTAGTTTTCATATTGGTTCAGGGCACTAGTTGGACTTTCATACTTTATTCGAGGATTATATTATATCATTTTCAGGTGAGCAGTTTCATGCTTACATATTTTATAAATGTTCCCCTACCTTGAACTGTTGGAAAATTAAATTGTTGTTTTAAGACTAAACTGTTTTGATAAATTATTATATTATCAATGGAATCAAATTATTTCTGAAACATGTGTGAACTGGGCATACTGTAAACTATTTGTTTTGGTCTCATGTTTATAATGATGAACTACCATGTTTTGCGAAACTGATGTGCATTGATTATTGGGACCATGTGTGTATTTAGTCCAGGGAAATTATTCCACTGTGTGTGGTGACTCTGGCCACTAGGGAACAGATCCGGGTTGTGCCGTGCTGACTATAGTGCTCAACGATTGTAAGGAAAAGACCTTAAAAAAAAAGCTAGATGACCTTCATTCGGATCGTCTTTGAGAAATGGCCCAGGTGCCACCTTGAGGATGACTCTTAGTTCGGTATTGGATCCAATGGGGCTTATAGTTTTGAGAATTGTGTGGCATATTATTTGTTTTTCTTGGTACCCCAAAAATTATTGGTGTTCATGTTATAATCTGTTTTAAGCAGAAAATGTCGTTTATCATGTTCTTGCGAGACATGAGTATTTTAAGTGTTGAATCGTGGAACCTTCTTTTTGAAACAGATTGTATTTACCAAACTGTATGCCAATCTAGTTTCTGTGATATATATCTTATTTTGGAATTGAACCCTGTTTTCAAAACTGTATTTACTATCCATGTTGCTACTCACTGAGCTATCAGCTGACTTAGTTGTTTACCATTTCCAGGTGTTAGAAGGACTTAGAGTGGACTCATGGCGTAGCGGGGACTCAATTGCATGGACCTCTAGGGCATTTATTTAATTTGTTTTAGGTTGCTTTGTCGAGTTTTGTGCATACATTGTGGTTGGGTTTTATTTTGAATTATTTATTTTGTGGGCGGTTTGTGTCCCATTTAGTATATATATATTTTTAGGAAGTCGGTTATGACTTTTTTTCACTTGTGGTATGTCACTGGACTGAGTGTTGATTTATTTATTTCTGGGCTATCATCACATTTATTCTTTATGGGTTTGGGTTCATGTTTAGGCTTACGTGTGCCTTGGGCTAAGTCCCTATGGGCCACGGCCGGTCATGCCCAGATTTGGGTTGTGACAATTGTGGTATCAGAGCTGTAGTTATCGAGTTACGTATCTTGCATTTCATCATTTAGACGAGGTCCAAGTTCGTATAGTCCTTAGTAGTGTTTGGTTAAGTTAGTTTTGTTTAAGCTTGTGTTGTGCTTTTCTTAATTTCATTTTGAAGGTTAAGAGAGGCACCTAGGAGAAGAAGTGTCAATGCTCTTGGAATTGATCAACCAGCTGCTAATCGTAGAGTTCCCCCCGTTCCTATGCCCCCTACTGCACCACCTGTTGCTCCAGTTGTCCCTGAAGCACCAGGAGTTGTTCCTGCGGCACCAGCCGCACAGGTTTTACAGTCATTGTTGGGATTACTGAACAATCATGTAGCCCCACAACTAGCAGTTCACCCAACTTTAAGTTTGGATAAAGGTTCCTTATTTGAGAGGTTTATGAAGGCAAAACCTCCAGAATTTCACGGAACAGTGGACCCTACGGAGGCAGAGGCATGGGTACTAGAGATAGAGAAAATATTTGACATTATAGGTTATTCAGCAGGCCAGAAGGTGGCCTTTGCAGCTTTTAGGTTCAAGGGTCAAGCAGAGCATTGGTGGCGCATGGTGAAGCGTCAATATGAGGGTAGAGAAACAGAGCTAGTGTGGAGCAAGTTTCTAGAATTGTTTAATGAGAAATACTTTCCTGAAGCGGTGCGAAGGCAGAAGCAAGTGGATTTTCTCAATTTGAAGCAAAATGACATGTCAGTGGCTCAGTATGAAGCCAATTTGCGGAGTTGTCGAGGTATGCCCCACATCAGGTGGCCATAGAGGTAGATAGAGTGATGTTGTTTGAGAATGGTTTGCGGTCAGAGATCTATGCAAAAGTAGCTGTTTTGGAGATGAAGATATATTCTGCATTGGTAAGCAAGGCATTACTAGCTGAAAGGGGAGTAGAAGAGGAAAATAGAGCTGAGGAACAAAAGGCTAAGGAACCACAAAAGAAGAGACTTAGAGAGGAGAGACAAGTAGAGCATCGTGGTGGTGGTAGCAATCCTAGCAAGAAGCCTTACACCCAAGGTCAGGTTAGCAATGGCATGAGGCAGGAGAATCGGAGGATTTGTGATAGATGTGGTAGGTCACATTCTGTTGGGTATAATTGTGATGGCACAGCTCGAATATGCTTTAAGTGTGGCAAGCTTGGGCATCTCTCTGCACAATGTAGGTCTAAGGGACTGGGGGGTCAGTCAATAGCATAGTCATTTCAGGGGCAAGGGCAGAGACAAACTTTTTATAGTGGTGGATTTAACCAGAAGCAGAATAAGGGCAAAAGTGGGGCTACCCAAGGTCAGACATTCGGGAATGAGACTCAGGAAAAGAAGTCAGCGGCTACCCAAGGACGGGTCTATGCTCTCACTAGAAAGGAGGCTGAGGTTGCTCCATCTGTGGTCCAAGGTACACTCCTTATATCATCTGTACCTGCTAGAGTTTTAATTGATTCAGGATCTACACATTCTTTTGCTGCACCTAAGCTTCTACGTTGTTTCTCTATTCCTTGTGAGCCTTTGGATGCATGTATTGCTGTGTCTACTCCATTAGGAGAAACATTAGTGTTAGGGGATGTTTGTAGATCTTGTGAGATAGAGTTAGATGGTAGAATTTTTCTAGTGGATTTGATTTCTTTAGAGATGAAGGATTTTGATGTGATTTTGAGGATAGATTGGTTAATGAAGCATCATGCCTCTATTGATTGTTTTAGAAAGAGGGTAGTTTTTGCTATGCGGGGGCAACATGAGTTTTTCTTTCAGGGAGATGGGAAAGGGTCTTCTATTTGTTTTATTTCTTCCCTTCAGGCTAACCGAATGTTGAGAAAAGGGTGTCATGGTTATTTAGCTTGTGTGGTGAGTACTGAACAACCAGAGCAGAGGTTAGAGGAGTTGCCTGTAGTGAGGGAATTTGTTGATGTTTTTCCAAAGGATCTACTTGGTCTTCCTCCAGACCGTGAGGTTGAATTTTCCATTGACTTGGTCCCCAATACAACACCTATCTCTAAAGCACCCTATAGAATGGCATCATTGGAGTTGAGGGAGTTACAAACTCAGTTACAAGAGTTGCTAGACAAAGTTTTTATTAGGCCTAGTGTTTCACCTTGGGAAGCACCTGTGTTGTTTATGATGAAGAAGAAGGATGGGTCTATGAGATTGTGTATTGATTATAGAGAATTGAACAAAGTCACTGTGAAGAATAGGTATCCTTTGCCACTCATTGATGATCTATTTGACTAGTTGCAAGGAGCTCAAGTATTCTCTAAAATTGACTTGAGGTCAGGCTATCACCAGTTGAAGGTAAGGGATGAGGATGTTCCTAAGACTGCTTTTAGAACTCGTTATGGGCATTATGAGTTCTTGGTGATGCCTTTTGGTCTCACAAATGCACCAGTCGGATTCATGGATTTAATGAACAGAGTATTTAAACCCCAACTGGATAAATTTGTGGTAGTGTTTATTGATGACATCCTAATTTATTCGAGGAGTAAGGAGGAGCATGAGTAGCATTTGAGGGTAGTACTGTAGATCCTTAGGGAGAAGAGACTGTATGCAAAATTTAAGAAGTGTGAATTCTGGTTGAGAAGTGTAGCCTTTTTGGGTCATGTAGTGAGTAAAGATGGGGTATCTGTGGATAGCACCAAGGTGACAACAATTGTTGATTGGCCACGACCTACTTCTGTGACGGAGGTACGTAGCTTTCTAGGGCTTGCTGGGTATTACAGACGGTTTGTGGAAGGATTCTCCCGTATTGCTTTGCTACTTACCAATCTCACCAGGAAAGGGGTAAAGTTTGAGTGAAATGATGATTGTGAGCATAGTTTCCAATAGTTTAAACAGAGATTGACATCAACTCCAATCCTTGCCTTACCTACAGATGGAGGTGGTTTTGTGATTTATAGTGATGCTTCACGACAGGGTTTAGGATGTGTGCTCATGCAGCATGGGAAGGTGATTGCTTATGCATCACGACAACTGAAAATACATAAGAGAAACTATCCTACGCACGACTTAGAGTTAGTAGCAGTGATTTTCGCTCTTAAGATCTGGTGGCATTATTTGTATAGAGAGTCATGTGAGATTTACACTGATCATAAGAGTTTGAAGTATATTTTCACACAGAAGGAACTAAATTTGAGGCAAAGAAGATGGCTTGAGTTACTAAAAGATTATGATGTGAATATTTTATATCATCCAGGGAAGGCAAATGTGGTTGCAGTGCCTTGAGTAGGAAGGTCGCAGTTGGAGATGTAGCTACTTTGTCTATTGAGAGTTGTTTGGTGGAAGACATGAGACGTTTGAGGCTTGAGGTTTTTACACCTGGTAATAGGGCTTATTGTAGTCAATTGACAGTTCAGCCGACCTTGAGAGAATGGATTCGTTTAGCACAGGAGATTGACCCCCAGTGTAGACTTTGTGGTTAGTGATGATGGGTTGCTTAGATTCCGTAGCCGAATTTGTGTTCCTACTGGTAGTGATTTGAGGAAGGAGATTATAACGGAGGCACATAGTTCTAGTTACAGCATTCATCTTGGAAGCACTAAGATGTATCGAAATCTTCATGAACATTTTTGGTGGAATGGTATGAAGGGAGATATTGCAGAATTTGTGGCTCAATGTTTAGTGTGTCAACAGGTTAAGGTAGAACATTAGAAACCCGCGAGGAAACTACAACCCTTACCTATACCAGAGTGGAAGTGGGATCATGTTACCATGGACTTCGTGTGCGGATTACCTCATACTAGTAGTAATCACGATGCAGTTTGGGTAGTTGTTGATAGATTAACCAAGTCAGCACATTTTATTGCAGTACGGATGACCTATTCTCTAGCTCGATTTGCACAGTTGTATGTGAAGGAGATTGTTAGATTGCATGGTGCACCAGTGTCAATAGTGTCAGATCGGGACCCTCGTTTTGTGTCTAAGTTTTGGGGTGCGTTACAGTTAGTTATGGGTACTTGGTTAAATTTTAGTTCAGCTTATCACCCTTAGACAGATGGGGTATTGGAGAGAACTATTCAAACCCTTGAGGATATGTTGAGGGCTTGTGCCTTGGAGTAGAGAGGTAATTGGGATGATTATTTGCCGCTCATGGAGTTTGCCTATAATAATAGTTATCATTCTAGTTTGGGAGTAGCTCCTTATGAGGCTTTGTATGAGAGGCAGTGTAGGTCTCCTTTGTGTTGGTATGAGGTTGGTGAGAGGCAAATGTTGGGACCTGATTTGGTGGAGGATGCTACACGGAAAATTATCACCATCAGAGAGAGATTATTGACTGCTCAGAGTAGACAAAAAAGTTATGCTGATTATCGTAGGAGAGACTAAGAGTTTCATGTAGGGGATATGGTATTCTTGAAAGTATCACCATGGAAAGGAGTGATCAGGTTTGGAAAGAAAGGAAAGTTGAGTCCTAGATACATTGGTCCATTTAAGGTATTGGAAAAGGTTGGTGAGGTTGCGTACCGTGTTGCTCTACCCCCTAGGTTGGCAGGAGTGTATAATGTGTTTCACGTGTCTATACTGAGGAAATATGTGCACAGTCCATCGCATGTGATAGATTATGAGCCGATTCAGATTAGAGAGGATTTTTCGTATGAGGAGATACCTATTTAGATATTGGATTCGAAAGAGAAAAGGTTGCGTACAAAGGTCATTAAATTGGTTAAGGTACTATGGCGTAATCATCTAGTTAAAGAGGTGACTTGGGAACGCGAGGACGAGATGCGCGAGAACTACCCACATCTATTCTCATGATTTACTCAGGTTAGTTACGAGGACGAAACTTTTCTTTTAGGAGGGGAGAATGTGAGAACCCAAATATAAAAATTAAGTAAATAATTAAATAATAATATTACAATCTCAAATATTTTGGTGGTGAATTCTAAGGTGCAAATAAATATTATTGGAGGATCTTTTAATTAATTTTTAAACCTAAAATAAATTTATGGTGAAAGTCTTTAATTTAGAGGTAAGATTTACTATCTAAAAAAAAATAAAAATAAAATAAAGTAAATAGAGAGGAGGGTGTGACTTGAACTCTAGACCACAAACTTAATAAATAAGGCTTTACCATTTGAGTTGCATATAACTTATATATGTATTTTGTATATTTATCTATTTATTTGACCTATGTGTGCCCACCACTAGTATAAATAAAATAAACACAAACCCTAATTATTATGATATTGTTTTCCCACAACTTTTCTGAGCAGCCGTGAGAGGTAAAGGGAGGGAGAGAGACGTCTAGGTCATTGGGCGAAAATTGTTGAGTTTTGTGGTGGCCATTGGCAAGGTAAATCCCTTATTATTTTTATTCCTTCACTATCTTTTTCTTCTTCTTGTGAGTTGCTGTGTAGTTAATGGATCAAATCAGTGAAGTAGGTTCATGTGTTGGGCATGGCTATGAAATATTTGGCTGATTGGGATAGTGCTTTATGTATAAAAAATGGTGTAATTCTTAGTCCAAAAATTTTGCACAGAATCACAAACTTTAAAAATCAAGGAACCATATCAAACGGATGAATTTTAATCTGAAATTTTTACAGTAGATTAATTACATATTGAATTTCATATCGGAATTTTTTCATAATTTTTGGGAGTCAAAATCCATATAAACAAATGTGTTCAAATCTGTCCAGAAAAACTGGTATTTAACAGTAAATTCGGGAGTGTTGTTCTTTTTTGGGTATAAATCCAAAAATTTTCAAATTAGCATCATTAAAACCGGTTACGAGTCTAGTTTCTTGAATTTTTGACCTTGCATTGATTGTTCATGTATACTAAGAGAACCGTCAATTTCTTTATAGTGCTGTAGAAAACAACCTGTTTGGATATAATAAATTGTAGATAATTATTTTGATAAGAAAATCAAGTGAAACCAATTGGGTTTGGAACTTAGGATATATTAGTTGATATCTAGAGGGTTTTATAATTTTTCAAACAACGTGGAGTGGGTTTTTAATTTTCAAAGTTAGCGAAAAGATTGGAAAAACTCTGTTTTATCTTAAAGTCGCTTTTAGTTAAGTTTCGATCGGAACCTATGTCTTGGGTGATTTTAGACCTTGAAGAACATGAACTTAGGTAATATTTAAGAGTAACGGTGAGTTGGGTTGAGCCGTGTTAGTGCACTTTAGTTTGGAGTTACTTAGTTCTTATTCTTTAGTATTTTTAAATTAGTAGTGACATGTAGTTTTCATATTGGTTCAGGGCACTAGTTAGACTTTCATACTTTATTCGAGGATTATATTATATCATTTTCAGGTGAATAGTTTCATGTTACATATTTTTATAAATGTTCCCCTATCCTGAACTGTTGGAAAATTAAATTGTTGTTTTAAGACTAAACTGTTTTGATAAATCATTATATTATTAATGGAATCAAATTATTTCTGAAACATGTGTGAACTGGGCATACTGCAAACTATTTGTTTTGGTCTCATGTTTATAATGATGAACTACCATGTTTTGCGAAACTGATGTGTATTGATTATTGGGACCATGTGTGTATTATTCCACTGTGTGTGGTGACTCTGGCCACTAGGGAACAGATCCGGGTTGGGCTGTGATGACTCTAGTGCTCAACAATTGTAAGGAAAAGACTTAAAAAAAAAATCTAGGTAACCTTCAATCGGATCGTCTTTGAGAAAAGGCCCAAGTGCCACCTTGAGGATGACTCTTAGTTCGGTATTGGATCCAACGGGGCTTATAGTTTTGAGAACTGTGTGGCATATTATTTGTTTTTCTTGGTACCCCAAAAATTATTGGTGTTCATGTTATAATCTGTTTTAAGTGAAAAATGTCGTTTGTCATGTTCTTGCGAGACATACAATACTTGCATTTTCCATTTCATACTCTATTCGAGGATTATATTATTTCATTTTTAGGTGAGTAGTTTCATGCTATGTATTTTTATAAATGTTCCCTTACCTTGAACTGTTGGAAAATTAAATTGTTGTTTTATGATTAAACTGTTTTGATAAATTATTATATTATCGATTGAATCAAATTATTTCTGAAACATGTGTGAACTTGGCATACTGTAAACTATTTGTTTTGGTCTCATGTTTATAATGATGAACCACCATGTTTTGCGGAAACTGATGTGTATTGATTATTGGGACCATGTGTGTATTTAGTCCAGGGAAATTATTCCACTGTGTGTGGTGACTCTAGCCACTAGGGAACAGATCCGGGTTGGGCTGTGATGACTCTAGTGCTCAACGATTGTAAGGAAAAGACCTTAAAAAAAAATCTAGGTAACCTTCAATCGGATCGTCTTTGAGAAAAGGCCCAGGTGCCACCTTGAGGATGACTCTTAGTTCGGTATTGGATCCAACGGGGCTTATAGTTTTGAGAACTGTGTGGCATATTATTTGTTTTTCTTGGTACCCTAAAAATTATTGGTGTTCATGTTATAATCTGTTTTAAGCAGAAAATGTCGTTTATCATGTTCTTGCGAGACATGAGTATTTTAAGTGTTGAACTGTGGAACCTTCTTTTTGAAACAGATTGTATTTACCAAACTGTATGCCAATCTAGTTTCTGTGATATATATCTTATTTTGGAATTGAACCTTGTTTTCAAAACTGTATTTACTATCTATGTTGCTACTCACTGAGCTATCAGCTGACTTAGTTGTTTACCATTTCCAGGTGTTAGAAGGACTTAGAGTGGACTCATGGCGTAGCGGGGACTCAATTGCATGGACCTCTAGGGAATTTATTTAATTTGTTTTAGGTTGCTTTTTCGAGTTTTGTGCATACATTGTGGTTGGGTTTTATTTAGAATTATTTTATTTTGTGGACGGTTTGTGTCCCATTTAGTATATATATATTTTTAGGAAGTTGGTTATGAATTTTTTTCACTTGTGGTATGTCACTGGATTGAGTATTGATTTATTTATTTCTGGGCTATCATCACATTTATTCTTTATGATTTTGGGTTCATGTTTAGGCTTACGTGTGCCTTGGGCTAAGTCCCTGTGGGCCACGGCCGGTCATGCCCGGATTTGGGGTGTGACAAAAGAAGAATTTGATGCTGATGCTCTCTACGATAGCTGCAAAGCTATGGTAGAGAGCCTGATGCGGATGCTCTAACTAAAAACAAGCTCAATCTGATTGAATCACTCATATAGTACAAGTATATAGCAATCACAACCTTTAAAATATATTCAATAATTCACAATGAATAAGTACTCAATTTGATCAAATAATAATAAGTTGAAAATGATACTGTGATACGCCAAATGTTTACTTAACATCACGTTATACCCACACACAAAAAAAAAAATAAAAAAAATAAAAAAACCCCTAAGAATAAGAATAATAAAATAAATATATAAAATATAAATAATTTCGTAGCTGTACCTGTTAAGGTATAATCTAATTCGGTATTGGTTTACTAAAAGTGCGATTAATATATTATTTGGGGCCAAAACAACACAACTACGAAATTATGATAAAAGTTAGGGCCAAAAAAGAGATATGGTGAAAGGTGTACAATTCACTGGTAACCTATAGAAAAAGCCACCCATTAAGCCTATTATTTAGAGGAGTGAATCATCCAGGAGGATAATAATTAAGGGGTGAGTCACCGTGTAAAGCTCAAGTATATAAGGGGTGAATCGAAAGCCAAAAAAAAAAATTCACAAGAAG